AACAGGTCTAAGTCCGTTGTCATCAATGATGTTAGGTCTCATGTGTACCCCACTAAGAGTGGAGTTCCTCAGGGTAGCTGTATCGGCCCCCTAATGTTCCTGCTATACGTTAACGATTTGCCTTCAATCCTCCCGCCTGGTGTCTTTATTTCCATGTATGCTGACGATAGCAAGTTATTCACTATCAACAATGCGGGGCTTCTACAGGATGGGCTGAACTACTTGGAGGGCACGAAGATGGGGTCTTGACATATCCAAAGAGAAAACAACCATTATGTTCTTAGGTAAAAACCATACCGATATCACCTTCAAACTAAGTGGTTGCCCGCTCAAACGCTCGAGTTCCATTCGAGATCTTGGTATCACTTACGATGATAACCTAAATTTTGATTGTTACATATCGGAAATGGTAACTAAAGCTACCTTTCGTTCCAATTTCTTATTGCGTGCTTTCCAAACTCGAGATCCTAAGCTCCCCCTTAGACTGTTTGCCATTTATGTGAGGCCTTTGCTCGAATACTGTACGCCTGCATGGTCTCCGTATAAAGCATTTCTTATTGAGAAAATTGAACAGGTGCAGAAGCGATTCACCTACAGGATTTTCGCTCAAAAGGGTTTGTCTAGAATGCCATATGTGACTCGCCTCACCCTTCTTGACGCACTAACGTTAGAGGATCGGAGGAAAGTCGCCGATTTGGGCTTTTTGTATAAAATTGTATTCCAAGAAATCGATATTCTGCTCTCTGATCTGTTTCGCGCATCTCCGTTCGCCAGCATCACTAGAGGTCATCCCTACAGGCTCTGCCTAGATGGTGCTATTAGTGCGGCTTACAGAGGTTCGTTTTCTTGCAGAGTTGTGCATCCTTGGAATAACATTAGTGAAGATTTTTTCAAGTTTAGGAAAGCTTCAGGCTTCAAATAAGCTCTGGCAAAAGAATTCAAGAATCGCTTGTTTGCTGGCGCCAGTCTGAATGAAGAAGAATAATTACTATTATTCCATTGCGTCCTCATCGTGCTTTAAGAAGGATTCATACTTGATGTTACTTGCAATGTCTCCTCCTTTCATAGAGTTGTGGCCTCATAGTTTCATTGTTCTGTTTTGGGTTTTTATTTGGTTCTGTTCTTTTCTTAACTTTTATTTCTTTTTTCTCACTGCCTGGTGCTAGCCGCCGTAGTTTTAAGTGAGCGGCACTCGTTCTTCTATGTTATTGTTTGTTTCCTTCCTGCCACATCCGGGCGCACTCTTATGAGTGTAATAAATAAATTGAAATTGAACTCCTGTGTTTACATGCTTTCTAAAAATTTCATCAAAATATATGTTGGAATGAGATCCTCGATTGATATGTTATCAAATGCCTGTTCCGACGGGGCGGATAAATGACAGAAATGCGAAAAAATTCCCATTTCATTTTCAGAAGTACAGATACTCCAGAATGATAAAGGGTAAACAAGAAAGTAAATGACTTCAAAACCCTTGATTTTTTGAATGCTTCAGTTAATATATGGATGCATGAACGAATGTAGATGGTCGTCAATTGCAGTTTTCTAGAAATGCACGCTCTTGGTTCGGCTTTTGACGCTATTAGTTGGGTTCTAACGGTTCTCTCCCTTTTTTTCGGGGAGGGCGGCACACCATGCTGTTAAAACGGTTACGCTTCAGGCGTTTTTTAAGGAACTCATTTATCAGTAGCCATAAGATGCACATGGTATCGCGTGCAGGCCAACTGATGTTATGAAAGGTGGGCAGAGGTAGTAGAAGAAATATGGTCGAACTCCGAAAGTGGGCGGAGTTTGCTCCAAGACAGGCGGGGAAGGTCGAAAGTTTAGAATCTGCTCAGAAACGTTCTAGAAAGCGGCAAAAATCAGAAGGAGATTGATCGAATCCTTAAAGTGGGCGGGCTTGCTTGAGTGACAGGAGTTAACATCAAAAATCCATAGCACTGTTGAGAAACGCTCTAGAGTGTGATAAAAGGTGGTTCGAAGATATAGAGGAAATGTGGTTTGAATTTTCGATAGGGAGAATTTTCACAAAAGCGTGGGTCTAGGACCTTAAGCCGAATCCTTGGAGAAGGGGAGTTTGCACTGGGCTGAACAATGAGATCGATTCACAATTCTTTTCGAAAACGACATAGAAAGCAGAGAAAATGTATAGGTGCAGATGAAAGAAGGAGAGTCAAATTCGAGTGGGAGTGCTGTGCACTAGTGTGAGCGGGGCTGTCATCAAACACCCTTGCTCTACTCAAAAATGCCCTGAGATTCGAGAATAAGCGCATACTGCTATTGAAGGAGGTATTTTTAGAACTCTAGAATGAGGAGGGCTTGCTCTGAGGTGGGCGGAACTAAGATCAAAAATAAACAAGTCTGTTCAAAGACGATCTTAACGTTACAAAATCGTTTTGTACATAAAGTCATCATTACTTACTACATATGATATCATCATCATTACTTACTGTATGCAAAGGATTCGATTCTGTCTGTCTGTCTGTCTGACTGACGGTCTATCCTAAAATTTGGTACCACCTAAAAAGATAGCTCAAATTTGGAATTGTAGGAGCCTCGAGCATGTTCATAATTCTGCTCCAAAAAGACATGACACCGAGAAAAATAAGCAAAAGTTAGGAGTAGGTCAACAAATCGGACGGAGACCCATCCGCAATGAGCTACGTGTCCTCGAACTTTTTTCATGAAGTCGTAACCCACCACAACCTATAGCCAGATTCTTCAAGAGTGCAACTTGGATCAAAAAATTATCTTTATCCTATGTGTTCTTGAGGTGACGCACGCGTTAGTGTTTGGTGCCCAATTGATTTATGATTAATTATCCCGACCCAATCTGTTGATCAATGTCAGAAAACTAGAACACAAAACTTCACTGGAGAGAAAGCTTTCCGATTTCATTGCAGTCCAGTCTGCGATCTCGATCCAAGGAGTGAGAAGACTTACAAAATCCTATTCATTGTAACCCGCCTGCCATTGTCATTTGACATTATCACTAGTAACTTATCACTAGCAAAATTGCTAGCTTCATTTTCAGCGCTGCATTAGAAATTATTGGAGGGAATTGTCGTTTCAGCGATGAGAAGCTCTTCTTGATCTCTCCGTCAAGGGACAGTATCAAGGGACGCATATGGACCACCCTGAAAAAAAAAGAGCCCAGCTCGAGCGTGCTGCAGTCACCACGCTCCACCAGCCATGCCTGATGGTGTGGGCCGGAGTCTCGTGGAACGATAAGACGGAACTGCTTTTCTTGGAGCCTGGGTTGAAGATTAATGCCGAGTACTACGTCCAGCGGCTCAGAGAAGACGTTCTGCCGTCATCTAGCCGCCTTTATCGTGACGGAAGCTTTGGGCTACAACAGGACTGGGCACCGGCAAATGCATCTAGGAAAACAGTGAGCGTCGAATATTTTAAGAAGACAGAATATCCGAGTGCATCTCCTGATCTCAATCCGCTTGATTACAGGGTGTGGGCTGAACTCAACAGGATTGTCTGCGATGGTCAAGAAGTTGCCGATCTCGCCGACCTCAGACGACGCATCAGATTTGCGTGGCAAAAACATTCGCTTTCGTTTGTGCGGAAGGCCATTGAAGAATTCCGTTATCGAGTACAATGTGTTGTTGATTTTGCGGGTGGTAATATTTAGTCAGAATTTGATAAAATTTGATTACATGGGTGGTACTAACGGAGACCCCGCCGTTCGCGACAGCAATGAGAGAACTCTCGAGAAGCTATCCTGTCCTATTACGTGTAGTTCGCCGCGTATGTGTATGTTGCGTGTGTAGTGGGTGTAGGGCGTGTGATGTTTGCGTATGCGTAGTGTTTGTGTTGGGGGACGGTCACCTCGTGAGTCCGAGGACACACGCGGCCAGGTGCGCGGCGAAGTGCGTGACGATCTGCACGACTCTGACGCCAATTTTCGGGGCATAATCTTGCAGTAGCAGTTGAGGCGGAGGTGGTGTAGTGGCAAGTGGCGCACTGTATCACACGCACGGTCAGGGGTTCGAATCCCGGAGCGATGCCCGCCTAGGCCAACCAAGCCTTCCATCCCTCCGGGGACGGTGAATTGGTACCAGACTCGTCTGGGAGGATAAAAGCACTGACTTGTACATCGGCTGGCCACCGCAAGTCATTGTATAGGCCACATACGCACTCATTACGCCACTACGATTCTGAATGGAAGCCGAGTGCGGGGGCGCATCCCTCAGACGGGATTGATTAACGCCAAAAACTTTATCCTTTTTATTTTTTATTAATCTTGCAGTAGAGTAGTTCAGTAGGGTCAGATGATCCTTTTAATCTAGTCTACTCCAAATATGGGCCCCTATGATAGGCGCTAAAGTTGTTCAAATCGCTACGAGCTTTGCCGCGCGCATCCTCGGACGCACGAGGTGACACATACCCGTCTGTGTGTCGTGTAGTGTGACCATTTTTGCGCTTGTGTAACGGAAAATTGATGTTTTGTTCTTGTTGACTCGAAGTTCTCAAATTTAGAATTGTTACAGGAGGCAGGCTGGGAACACTGATGGAAGCTGGCACGACTGGGAGAACTCCGTGGGATAGAGCAGCAGAGTAGACGCAGGGGGTAGTAGGGCGGGGCGCGCGAAATGAGCGTGACGAGAGCAAAAATACGCAACTAACATGGAATAAGTAGGGTTAAACGAAGTTACTTTGCATTACATGTCCCTACTGGTACGACTGTATGCTACGAGGTGCCGGGGGCAAAATATATACACCGGTTCTCCACTACGGATCAATCATACTACATTCTATGTGATTTTTTTGCGAATTGCTTCACGTTTGCGAAAAGTAACACTTGGAACAAAACCGGCTCGTCACCTGCCCTTTTCGATAGTCGCCTGCATGTCAACCGATTAGATGCTTATAATGCAATCCCTTTCCTGTTCATTGCCTTGGATAAGTAAATTAATTTTTCAACCTCACCCTTGTCGAAGCTCAAGACATTCGATCTGGATAGTACTATAAAATTCAAAAAATTTAAGTCAGCCGTGCTTTACTTGATATGTAATTTGTAAGTTTATGAGAGAAGCATGTATAAGAGCCTGCCTTATCCTTAGAAACGCAGTGAATTGGGGTAGAAGAGCAACATCCGATCCTCGATACTCTCCCCAACAACGCATTAGGGAATCTCGAGCCGCACGGATCAGTGCTCGATTCTCCACGCGACACTCTCCTGAAAGCAGCAATTTGATGGTTAAATAATGTGTCTGAAAGAAATCTTTGATAGATATACAACAGCTCCCCTCGACATTTTGGAACTGATCCCTATAAGAAGAATTGTATGTCAACAGCGCATCACGAATAAAACGAGCTCACCAAGAAGTTCGTACGGAAAGAAAACCTAAGAGAGCTGCCAGCCTCCCTTCTTTCTTTTTTGTTAACTCAACCATAAGGTCTTTTTGTTACCGTGAAACGCTACTTCTACTTTCGAAACTGATGTTCATATTTGTAGGGAGTGAAAATCCGTCTTCACGACTGCCATTCCATGATGCAAATGCTGTAGCCGAATGAATTGGAGAACTTCCATCACTGATTTTTATGTCCTCTGCGCCTTGTGAGTCTTACATCAGTTTTCTTTACCATAGGTTTCCTCCGTACCATAATCGAGTCAAGCAGGTCAAGTCAAGAAAGATTAGTACATACCGTCCTCGTGAAATAAAGCCAAGTATCGAAAAGCAGCCAGATCGACTCTGGTAAAACCACGACTAGCTAGAAGATGAACTATTTCCGTCCATAAGGCCAACAACGAACAATCGCCCATCACAGCTGCCAGACCTGACGGAACCCTAAACGTAATTATATGGATCAACATAATCTAGCAAGCATTCCATTTGCAAGTAAATTTGGCCTGGTAGAGGTAGAAGAGAGCTATTGAAGCCTAATATAATATGCCCAGCCCACTAAATCTAAAAAAATCAGCTGAAACGCACAGCAAGGTAGAAATCGTTTTAGAGACGTTATTAACACTGAGAACCAGCGGGTCATTGATGAGTGGCGTTGGTTGAAGCAGAATTCCCTCAACAAATGGAGTGGTTTTGCGGCAATTACTAACCTCCCTCACTACCTCAACTATACAAGCTATTTATTTATTTCTTACTTCAATATTCATTTGTTTATATCTCTCCAGATTTTTATAATTCCTCTAGATATGTGAACAGCTATTTACTGACTCAAGTCCGTTGTTCATCTTGATACTGACTGGTATTGCTCCAATGACGGCTGCGTAAGCGAAATCAGCTATATGAACAGCTGCCCAGCTAGCATGTAACAACTGCATTTGGTCAGCCATCTAAAAACACCGATTGACTGCTTCATAATCTCTTTCTTCCTCACAAAATTACGTAAAATCCTCATAAATTCACTTGCCGACCTCAAGCTCACGGAAGTATGGAGCCGCTTTAGCCCACGCAACCAGCTGTCCTAAATTATCCTCTACCGCTGACACACAGAACGAGAACGGTTCCCATCTAGGCCACTTGTGCAGTAAACAGTATAATCTTAAATCAACGAAGCTGCAGGTTATTAATAATCGGATAACAATTACATAAATCACTACTTATTCTGTAGTGGACACAGTTCACGATAATTCTAGGTACCCTTCTGGGTTAAAAAATGGAAGTGTTGTTGCGCATCAACAGATGATGTCTCAGTACCCATCTGCAGAAAATCGTTATGCACTGACTCCATGGGTCAGAACCGCATGAAGTCATGATTTTGGACTGGTGTGCCTTTATATTACATTTTTGGTTTCTGCAACTCATCAGATTTTTTTCTAGCACCAACGCGCCATAGGTTTATCTCAGAACGTATTATTGAAGAAGACGCCAACGAAGATCAGCGAAGCGCATTTTTAGAATTTGTGTTCCAATGCAAATGGCGCGCGCAATCAATTGCGTAATCTTTCCATAGTAATTGAATGCGCCGGCTCGCTGGTATGTTCACAAACGCTTAAGGTTTTGGAACCTTGTTGCAACCTATCTAGACCGTTTTTCGATATGACAAAGGGGGGAGGATACGAACGTGCGTCCGAGGATGCGCGAGGCAACTTGCGCGGGGAAGTTCGTGATGATTCGTACGACTCTGTCGCCAATTTTCAGGGCACAAACTCAAAGTAGAATAGTTAAGTAGAGTCAGATAATCCTTCTAAACTACTCAACTTCAAATTTGGGCCCCAATGATAAGCGCCAAAGTCGTTCGAATCGTTACGAACTTCGCCGCGCGCATACACGGACGCAAGTTCGTACACATACCCCCGACAAAGTCCTAAATAATGGATCATAAAAGCTCTCAGACTCATTACGGTGGAAAATTTCAGAAACTGTTTGTATAGCTAGCTTTGTTTTGGGTATTCCACTACATATGACGGGCTAACTGTGTCTGTTGGTTTGCCAGCATGTGCATGTGTGTGCATGGGTGTGTGTGTGCGTGTCTGTGCATGGGTGTGTGTGTGCATGGGTGTATGTGTGCATGGGTGTGTGTGCATGGGTGTGTGTGTGTGCATGGGTGTGTGTGTGTGTGC